CGATTACCATCCCAACTCCCGCGCTTAGTTAGCGCTGATAGGAGACTGTCAGCGAAACCAACAAGTTTATTGACCGATTTAGGGGAAACGGCTAATTGATTACAATACACATAAATAGAGAAAATGCAATAATAATCAGTCTCGTGTGTGCAACTCTGCTACCTGAACAGACAACAAACATGCTGCAATAATATTAAGAAGCTGCAACAAGCGCACATTCTCTTAGTTCTCGATAGATTTCCTCAACATCAATAGGCTGATCGTCTTCTATACGTCGACGTGTGTTCATCGGTATTGACTGTGAATGTCGGCGTCGTGGAGGTAGATCTCGCTCATCTGAATCATCATCTGGCTCATCGGACGCATTATCTTCATCTTCTTCGGAAGATGATGTCACGGTTCGCTTATCCGTTCGAGATTTGCGTTGGGTATCTGGCGGTAATGCGATCTTTTTCCTGGGATGAGGCTCATTCTCTCCACGAGGGATGCGAGTAATCGGTTTGGTTAAACGTCTTACTTCTTCGTCTTCGTCTTCATCGTCTTCTTCATCGTCTTCTTCTTCTTCATCGTCTTCTTCTTCTTGTTCGTCTACCTCATCTTGTTCGTCCTGTTCGTCCTGATCATCTCGTATTTCTTCGTCGGCTTCCTCCACATCAGGATCTTCGTCAATGTCACTACTGCTAGAAGTGTTCTCTGCAGGTGAAGATTGACGATAACATGGATCAGAATCGTCAATGATAGCGTCAGAAGGTGTGTCATTTGGTTTATCGAGAGCATTCATTTTTTCTTCATTGATATCTGACATTGAAGTTTTTTGGGTTAGTGTTAAATGGTCAGAATGCTCATTTCCGTCGTGACTATGCTTGTCTTCCAGTTCGAGATTTTCCCGGTCTACGGGGAGACTCTGTGACATTATATACGAATTATTATGGTTAGTAAAAGAAGAAGGTTAGTCCGTGCTGCGGGTAGCAAACACGAGCTGGTCGTTGCGTTAGCGTAATATTTTTTTTATCCTTTTTCTGTGAATGATAGTTATAGCAAAACACGTGTTGTTTGAAGGTATAATTAGAATGGCCGTTGAGTGGAGAAAGGTTTCAGCTACTGTAAATATTCCACCCGTGACTTCTGTGTATAGTACCGATACTGGGGTATGACGAACTGGGGAAACCGCGTTAGTAACCTATTTTTAAACGACAGGAATATGAAGTTCAGAGACTTACAGGTTGAATTTGCTGAAGTATGTTTTCAGTAAGTTATTGCGTCATCGTTACTCATGGACTGTTCGGCATCATTCTCCGACCCTCTCTATCAGATGTTTTGCTGACTACGATCATAATAGGCTGACAAATTCAGCGTGACTGAACCCGTATTACGCCCCGGGTCAATGAAAGGATTCGGATTGGATAAAAAGATCAAAAAACTATATGTAACGTTAACCTTTTACGGACTTAATATAGAAAGTATTGGCTGACAATGATTTAATTACCAAATTAGCGATGGTGATTATCATGATCGTGATCGATTATGCGTTTAAGCTTTTTTATAATTCTCGGAATAACGTCATGTGAAATATGAAATTTATTATCATTACGAAAATATGCATATTATTCGTCAAAATGTCATTCATTACCACAAACGGTCGTAACACAAAATTAAATACAGCCCACAGCCCACCCAAACTATCAAAAAATGACTTTATAATTCTCTAAAATAGTCTCGACTACCCTGCATTGCCAGCTCATGTCATCCAATCCACCATTGTCAACCGCTATTGACGTAATGCCCTGCATCGGTATGGTAGCGGCTGTTAAATTGGGGCTAGCTGGACTGCCCATGAACATTGGTACGGTAGAGGCTGTTGGATTGGGAATAGCGGGACTGCCCATGAGTGTTGGTCCAAAAACAATACCAAGATTCTTAACACCCATTTTGTTTGACTCTTCATTGGCCACAATTCTATTCAAACACAAAACATCAGTCATACATACGATCGCGCAGGACATCAATGGCGACGAGCGGAACAGTCGATAAACATACTTGTTCAAATGTCCCATCAAATACTTGAGCGTGCTGTAGTTTGGATCGGGAAGAGTATTGACATGTTCATGTAATGTAATCACCCGCAACTTCTTATCTTCGAGTTCTACAGATATGACATACCGAATAAACAGATGGATACATAATTCTGCTTCAAAAGTTAATATGTACTTGCGTCATACTTACTTGCCGCGTTGATAAAATCATTACATCGTGCACGAACAAATAATGGGTCAGGCAATTCTCTGAACCACAGCTTCAAGACACTTGCAACATTATTTATGTCTGCAATATGTTCAGAACCGTCCAGATCCACTGTTTCGGCATCTGAAAAACATGGAAATTTGAACATGTCAATCGTGATATTAATGCTAAAAACAAAGATTCACGATAACGAAATTTTCCTAATTTCAAGGCATTATAGATAAGACTCACTCCTATTAAACAATGTCTTCAGTTTCATTATTTGCGGGGTCGATCCGGATACTCGATATATCCCTTTGCTATAGAGACCTATCCAGCAAAAAGTTGACACGTTATTTAATTTTCAGATCAGCCGACATCCAACATTCCCATCAAATATTCTCATCAAGTCTCTATGCCTCACCATATTTTTCAATGACTTCAGCACATTTTACTAGTATCATTGGGACTTCGTGTTTATCCCTTGCCATCTGAAAGGCCAGATCTACCCCAAATATAATCTTGGGATTTACAATACTTTGTGCGACCTCAGACTACGATAGAGTAGACATATTTAGTTACATGATCTCAAATCTCAAATTCAATGATTATCAATAATTAGGCATAGCTCCACTATACAAACCATATTATACTCATTGTATTCAATATTATTACGTTGAAGCTTCTTTGATTTGGTACCACAAGACGTTACATAAGATTGGAAATCCTCTTCATTATTAATTTGTTCAACCATTTTACGCATGGAAAATCCTAACAATCATCCATAAGCAAAGATCAATTCTTTTCTATTAAAATAAAACTCTTTTTATTCATAAAGTTAATATCATACTCTACGTGCTGTATTGCATAATTACCATCTTCTGCACTGACAGGGCTTATAACCAATGCCTCGCTTACCATGGTATTTTCATACAGGTAGGAATAGCGTGCTAGATTGTATTGCAGTGCTGCATCGCACTCATCCGCCACATCTTTTAATGACTAGACAAGGAACACTCATGAGTAAAATGAAAATAGTATAGGTATACTGAAATAAAACTTACTGTTATCATTTGAGGAAGATGGACATTATAATACTCATTACGCAATGCATTAGTATTAGATAAGTGTAATTTATAGTTTTCGTTTGCTGTCGCGGCTTTCTGACGTGCATCTTCCTCTTGTTTCCCCAACTGCAAATAATTAATATTAGAAATTTAAGATACGCAAACATGGATACCTGAAACATCGGTCATGTTATTGATTGGAAATACCTGAGTGGGCGACTTTGGTTTATTAGTAAATATAGATTTCGTGAGTGTCCTTTTGGAATGCGGAACAATATCCCCATTCTTTTCTAATAAAGAGCGCTCCCAGTCTTCACTCTGGCTTTCGTATTTGTACTTGGCCTGCAAACAAGAGAGACAGAGTTTAGTTTCTCCGACTTTTTACCATGACTTGGACGCTAACATAAAACTATACAACTCACCTTCTCCAGTGATTGTTCCGTTTCTTGGATTTGTCGTTCGTACTTTTGTCCCGTGTCTTTCATCTGTTCCAACAAAGTCGCACCCCATTCTTCAATCATAAGGAGAACGCTTCGACACAAATCATAAGGTTTTTGTCGTTTAACCAGCTGTAACTTACATTTTTTCTGCCTTTATCTGTATCTTTATATTGATAGGTAAGATCCTCGGCTATTTCCTGAATAGCAGCAGCGAACTTTATCCTATTTTCACCAATTATCTCATGAAGTCGCAGTATATTATACCAATTATCGCCATATGTACTAAGAGTAAATATATATATTATGATGTGAATGATGGGAATGCCATCTTGCATAGTTGGGCAGATGTAAAACACACCAAATGAACTCACCCTCGCTTGCTATCACTAGTGTTACAACTCTCCTGCGTGCCACGAGACAGCTTAAGCATCGAACGCCCATATTCCTCTTCAATCAACGCTCTCTTTTTCAAAAAATTGGCCGCTTCCTACAAAAAAAAAAAAAAAAGAAACCCACCGAATGGGGTTAACAGTTTTCACAATAGCAAAATCATTGTCGCAAAACCTGCTATATACATTGATACATACCTTACATGACTGTGCATCCTGCTTGACTCGCTCTAGTATAATGTTCAATCCTCCCTTTACAAAGCGAAACAAAAACACAGTCAGCCTTCATTGCATTCGCCGTTAACCTTCCTTTCCATCTATTGTCCACTAATAAAGAGGTTTCATACATCAATATCACACAAGTGCTTGACAATCCCTTGCGGATCTGAAGCCCGTTCAGCTATGTCTGATGATACGCTCTCTAGATCATTAGTCGCATTAGTATCAACAGTTCGAAGAGAATTAAGCGAAACAGCGTCTGCTTCCGTATTGCTTTCAGGCACGGTAAGCAAAGCGAATGTCTGTTCTGTTTGAGGAGATATGACTTTCTCCTGTGAGGGAATGAACATTGTCGTAGGCCGCGCTTGGCGCGGTGATTGCGATGTTGCCAACGGATTGTTCAGTGGTACTATTGGGAGAGTGGAAACTGTGAGTGACTGGGCTTTGCGCGGACGGTCTTGTCGTGACATTTCTTTTTTTCTACGGTAAGCATTTATAGAAATTTGGTTTATTTTCTTGGATCAAAAGTTGACTGAAAAGTCTATGTTTCACTCCGTAGAATACCATTCATGGACTGTGGGAGTTTTACATGTATGACTGATCAGGTGACGGTGAAATAACAAATTTAAATCGGGGACACAAAAAAAAAGCCAAATTTTATAGACATGTCCAAGGCGAAGAAATTTGAAGAATTGGAATTGCTCCAAACCCAATTGAGTGTGTCTCTCGGGTTGGTTCGATCGACGGTAAACGAATGGCTGCCTCCTCTGAAACCCGGTGAAGAAGAAGAAGACGTTAGGGATGACACGGACGAACTATTGGTAGCTAGAGGAGGTTCTTTGTCTAATCAAGGTGTAGGGTATGTATGTCTGCACGTAAGTGAATAAAATGATACCTTTTCGATTGTTGTAAATCACATGTAACTAACGTCATTCACGCATATGATAGTGTTTTGGTTGGTAAGCGCATCGCCGAGAGCAGATTAAAACGAAAATTGACAGCTACACGGACGCAAACCTTGCATGACAATCACAATAGCAAAGAGCCACTGCAGCAAGATGTCGACGACGAGGATGAAGATAGCAAGACATCATCTACCGCTTCAAAGCGACAAAGACAAGCTGCAGTATCAGCAATGAACTCTCCCTTGTTAACTAATATTTCGCAGGATACCAAAGCCGAGAATGAAGGTCAAATAAAGAATGACGTCGCAAACAGAGATTTTTTCTCGCTGTACATGTCCGAGCGAGAAACAAGGAGGAAAAAGAAGAAAAAGAAAAAGCAAAAACAGAACAAGGATATTGATGGTCAAACTGTAAATACTGCCATTAATGCGGATGCTGATGAACAGCATGAACGGACGAACGATAACAATAATAACAATGAGCCAATTGAGAACAATAGTGAGGCAACAAGTGATAACACTACTATCAGAGTCGATTATAGAGAATTGATGCAGAGAACGTTGAAGTTTTCCACAACTAAATCGGTATCGAAATCTACTTCCAAGCCGTAATCATGTCCAAGAGCGTTTTGTTACACAATATATTAATTGTACCACAACAGGGTTTTATATTAACATCACAATATCGGCTGGCTTAGCATTTTATTTAGTACTAGTACTTCCCTTTGCATACACCCTCCCTATTAGTTATTATAACCCAAATGAAAACCAGCTCTTTACTTCTGCTTCTGCTTCTGGGCCTGTTGGCCACCATTGTTACTGCAGATTTGTCAAGCCAGAAACCTATTGTGGGAAGCTCGAAAAACACTGGTGAGGGAACTCTCTGGACACTATGTGGGGATCCGTCAACACACCTGTTGAAAGCATACGACGGAGGGGTTTCTATTACGCCTCTGCAGCCGAAAGTTGGGGAGGACCTCAACATAAAAGTAAACGGGTTGCTGGGTAAGTATGCATGCAGTTGCAGAGCAGAGTGCTCTTGTTTACGGCACTGATGCTAACCTTACTTTGCACTCGTACATTGTCAGCTTCGGACGTTCCTTCAGGGAAAATTAAATTGAGTTTGAAGTTAATGAATTTCATAAAGCTGACCAAGAGTCTTGACTTGTGTGAGACTCTTGATAGTGATCATATCCGTGGTACTTCATGTCCGTTCAATAAGGGAGATTTTGCTTTGGATGTTACTGGTAAGTTGTAATTTGAAGCTTGAGATGTAAGATAATGCAAGCAAACTCTTTCATTCGGTTTGCCGTTAGTAAGGTCTTGGTCAACACGAAGGTTCTACTCTAATACTAAACCACATCTTTTTTTTCTTAAACTTATCCCAGCTTCTATTCCGAATGACGTTCCCAAAGTGCCAGTTAATGGTGATATTGTCATTGCGGATTCTGAAGGCCGAACAGTTACTTGCATCCGTATAAAGCTGAGACTATTATAACCTTGATGGTTCACCTTTTTAATGATTCGTCGATTACTTAACTGAAAAAGTTTGTAATAATAGTATCTTTATTGCATCGCTCATACCATTTTTTGTTCCATGTATTTCTAGCTTTGGTACAACAATATGACACTAATAATATTTTCGTTATATTTTTACTCGAGATTTCATAAATACTTAATTGCGTAACAAATCAAAAGAAAGCACACGATAGAATATTCACATGCATTACATTTTTATGTGTAAAGGGATACAATATTATCACATAAAATATATGACGACTGTTGAACTCGCACACGCCACAGACCCCAACTTTATTACAACAGAATTGCGCGATATTAAAAATTATAGAAAAATATGATACACGGTGTTAGGAAAGATTCAAACCCGCTATTGATGTCTCCATGCTATGGTAAGATTTCAAACTGTACATACAAGACAAAGATTGTTTTGCATAAACCATCCTTTTTAACTAAAGCAATTCTCCTAATAAGAACTACAATTCATAGTCATTCGTCCGTATCCTCATCTTCCTCAAGGATTGTGAAAAGTATTTTAGAAGCAACCGGCGTCTCAACTTTGTTACAAGGAATAACATCTTTTTCAGCAAGGTTGATCTCAGGTTCCTCGGTGATCGTACCGAGAGTTAACAACGGTTTGGACCTCTTACAACTCGAATTTGCTTTGTAGGCGATCGTATCTCGTGTGAGACGCCGAACTAATGGGGTAAACACAAATGAGCAAAGAGTTCTTGCGCCATTAACCACAAATTCTCTTTGAGTGTATCTAGAGATACGATCACCTCTCTCAGAAATACAGCCGAGCGGAGAGTCGCCTATACGACTACTTTGAACGCCGTGGGTTTCATGGGCTGTCATGATCATTTTAGTCCAGTTCTTTACATTGTCCCTAGTCGCACCAGAGATAGTGCGAGGCGAAACTCGGTTCTTGTTTGATGTGGCTTCAACTTGTAGATCTGATATATCGTTATTACTAAGCCCCGTTTTAGGTAGAGCATCGACGCTTTTCGCATTTTTTTTAGTTCCGTTGTTGAGACCTCCTCGAGCACGATAGAAATCACAAGCGGGATAACTACAGATTGCTATTGTAGCTAGAACCATTGTCGCTATAACGAGGGTGCATTTATCTGAGTTTAATATGTGGAAACAAGCTAGCATTGTGGCTGGAAAGCGACAGTGTATCGAGATAAGACGGATATACTATAATATTAAATAGTGTCTTCTGATCTCTCTGTTGACTTTGTTGAGTGCTTACCTGATCTTGGTAATAAAATATGTGTATTATCCTAGAAGCAACTGCTTTAAAAGACTGACCATTAGCGAAATTAAGCGTCGCTGGAAAACAAGCATTCTGAAACTCTAATAGCCTGACTCGTTTCGGTTTCGCCCGAGTGAGCGGTTATTAGCTAGAAATAAGACTCCAGTATGTACCTGTGTGGAATGGAGTGGCTGTTTGTAATAAACGACGGTAGATTTTTTCTTTTTCTGCGCCAAGTCGATAGATCTAAGACCAAAAAAACAGTATTTTTGGTACTCCACGCGATCTTTATATCTCTGACATCGTGAGAATTGCTAATTTTGAACGATAGCGTTACACGTGGTTGATCGGGTGCTACAAATGAAATGATCTGGGACCTCCAATTACATTGCGACGTTCTCATTTGTACGGTCTCGAAATCGAAAAAACGCAAAATGCCCAAGGAAACTTAATAACTTTGGCAAATTTACGAGCGACCGAACTGCATGTTCATTAATTAGACTTATGACAGAGCCCAGGAATTGGTTCAAAGAACCCGTTTCCATAACTGAGTTTTCCTTAATTGGTTTGAGAAGAACTCGCCGAACGGATTTTAATAGTAACACATCCCTTGTACTGTGTGATGTTTTCATGCCTTTTGTATTGTTTGTGACTTGTTTGTTAACGAGACAATACAGTGAAAAGGCACGTGTGACGTATTGTGCAGCGAACTTTGTTTCACCAGCAGTGCGAATATTGACAATATGGTAAGCGTTATGCAGTCAAACTAGCCTATTTGCTGATTATATATAACTCCTTGAAACCGATTTTTGAGTGGCGTGATTACTCACAGGAACCGCAGTAACAAACTTTGCTTAGCAAGCAATCAAGATTAGAACAGAAAGTGATGAACATGAAAGATATGTAGAAGCAACATTAGGGGATATTGGCTCAATTTTTCAATAATCCACTGCCGCACGTTCTTCCTAACCAAAAATTTCTTTCGCATGGCTAAGGTTCATCAATACAGAGTGCGAGTTTAATAATATGACACTTTCATAATAATAAGCATGAATCTATATTTGTTTTTGCCGATTTCGAATCGAAATAGTTATGCTGTGGATGTCTTCCTAACAAAGGACGACTGCTTCCAAAGATTGTATTTCTTAGCAGATCCTAGAAAAGATCGCGAACGGATGATGATATACTAAAGAATCTTCGATCCGAAACATCATTGTTGCAAATTAGCTAGTATAAATTGGGAATAGGGCAAATCAAACTTGCCATGCTTGCGAAAAGCAATCTCACGATGAAGAGTTCAATAGGGATAGATAATCTTGCCTTTGCATAGGTCATTTGAGAAAAAAGCGTTTCGAAGTATACTTATCGGCCGGTGGACAATGAAGCTTCAATGTAACGTACCCGGACAAAAGTGAGCGGTCACTACGGAATGTCACTGATCCCCCATGGCTTTTCATATGTGAAGTAAAAGTTTTACTAATACAACCTGGTCTTGGTGTAATAAGTAAAATCCAATATTGTAACGATACTGAGCGATACCCCGTGTTGCGGCTGATGCTGAAACCATGACTTTTCATTGGTTGATCAAATTTTATAATTTCATTGCCCACAATTACAATCAATGACCCCATCAGTTGATGTTTCAGAACTGCTTAACGCTCTTGCCTCTGCTTTTAGAGAAGGTGTTGTGCTTGGTGGCTATCGCAGGGAGCTTGTTGCTCAAGTTTCTGCTTTTGCAAGCATGGCATGGGATGTTGCTTACAATAACAATAAACACATACCCATATCATAATCACTGCATCTTAGTATTCTCTCTAACCTCTAATGCAAGGAATGCTGTCATCTTGAAAGAGTTACTTCTGCTCATCACCATAGATTATCTTTATGCAATCAGGATCATAATTTTTTCCACGCGGAGAAAGCCAATCGAAGACAGGAGGTGTCACACGGTTGCATTCTTAGATGCCAAAGGAAGCAGTAAAAAACAGTTGTAACCGAAGACCCTGAGGACGGAAGCGAAAACTGTTTCTATGTATGCGAAAAGCATGCTGGGGAAAAAACAGTTGGAAAACAAAAATCTCGAGTCTTTCTCCATATTAATATATTAATATGGGCAGACTGCAACAAAACCAGACAAAGTGAACATTCTGTTTTGTGACATAAATGAGAGGCTGATTATTATGTGGCTGTAAAATTGACCAGTGTGACTGATGACGTTTGAAAAGTAATAATGTGCTCATGGCTTATTAATTTTAATGCTCCCCTTATCATACCAGAAGGTGAGGAATATAAATCATAACAGGATTAATATAGGATTATCTCTATATATACCCAATTTAGATCAGATTTGCGACACGTAAAATGCAAAATAAAGCACGAGTTAAAGTGACGCAAATTTGATACTTTTTGTGTTTATTATTATTTCTGCTTTTTGAGAAAAACGTTTACATACAAATGACATCTAAACAAGAACTTCAACGAAAAACCATATTACATTTGTGGGATGAGAGTGTACAGGATGCCAAGGAAATACATAAGCGCACAAACATACCACTTTCTACTATATATAACAATCTCAAAAAAACTCAAAAAATTAGGAACAATACGACATGCTGTTGGTAATGGTCGACCAAGGAAGATCACAGCAAATGCCTCCAAAGCATTAGGACAATATGTTCGCAGGGATTCCTCTATATCAACAAGAACTTTAGCTACAAAGCTATCAAATATGGGGTGTGGAGGTTTCTTATAGAACAGTTGGAAGGCATTTAGCTGATGCTGGATACTCAAAACATCTTCTAAAAGCCACCTCAATGCTTACTGATGACCATAAACGAAAGCGGGTAGAATGGGCCAAGGATCACCTTAACGATAATTGGAACAAAACGTTATGCTTTTCAACTCTTCCGAAACACGGTGGAACGTTGGTATAAAGGACCGAACGAAGATTCTTGCATGGGGTGGTTTCTGCGTAAAGGGAAAGACGAGTTTATTCTGCTTTAAGCAGATAATGGATGCTAAGTTCTATGTGGATATTCTCTGCAGACATATTCCAGAGATAAATCGCATGCTAAAGGGCATGGCAAATGGCGGTTTCAGCAAGATAATGATCCGAAACATATAAGCCGTCTTGCCCAAAGCCTTTCTTCGAGAGAATATGCCTGAAGTCATGGCTTGGCCATCTAACAGCCCCGACCTAAATCCGATTGAAAATCTCTGGAGTATTGTTAAAAGCAATGTGGAGAGGCGAATGCCAAAAAATCAGAATGAGCTGGAGCAATTTATGGTAGAGGAATGGGAAAATATCCCAGACTCTACTCTAATTAACTTGGTGAAATCGATGAAACGGCGTTGTAAACTTGTAATTGAAAAGAATGGGGAACGTATACCTTACTAAAAATATATTAATAAAATCACCTGGTTTTTAGCTTGTAATGATAAAAATTTCATGTGAATTTGATCACTAGTTGTGGCGTAATGCACAGTTTTTGTCATTCCAATTTTTTTTGTCCCACACTGTATACTCATAATTATAATCTTGTTTAATGTAAATTTTTAAGACAGTGCGGTTTTATGCAGCACGATATTCAAGTGATTCAGATTCTTACTATTATGTTCATTTTTTCCGCTTTTAGCGATATGTTTATACTTTGGTACACAAATCATATTATAAAGTGACATTATGTAGTAAATATAAATATGTAATATTGTAGATCAGAATTTATATTGATGTTGATATCAGCGAGGTTCATTTAATTAGGGAATAAATCTGATACGTAGCTTTCCGGAACTTGGTCCATGTTTATTATGTAATCAAGGAACTTTTTTTTGCATAGGTTGCAAAAATCCTTCACCGTTCTCATACGCAATTGTCTTGAACAACATGTAAATTTTTTCACAATGTCCCAAATGCGAACAAGACACTGAACGAATCCCCGACTCAACCATTATACCTGTTCAACGAGATTTTCCAGTCAACTACTTCATCACTAATTAGAAGAATGATCAACAAATGTCAGCTCAATTCACCGTCACTTCTGAGGAGAAAGTAGAGCTCTTGCGGAGCGAAGATCTCGAGTCCCGACTTATCAGATGATACAATAAAAGCAGATAAAACGCCTAACAAAAACTCTTCGTTTTTACCATCTAAGCGTGCTAACGTTTCCAAGAAAGGTATATTTGCAAAAAATTCTTGTCAAAAGACAAAAGACTGGAAAAAAAAAAGAGTTTTCTATCGTAAAAAATCAATCAAAGAATTGCCCGCAGAAAAAGTTCCAGATACAGTGCGATTTCGCCTGCATTACAGGCTACATCATCAGACTCCATCAACTTCGTTTTTTTATATAATAACGTTGTTAATTCCGAAGCTCATAATGTTAACACAATCAAAATGTAATAAGAGCTTACTTCAATTCGGTAAAGGTTTACTGGATTGTTTAAATTACTATAAACTAGCTAATAGAAGACGTGCATCTGTCAATAAAGGAGATTAGAGAACAACTCTCTAAAGACATTAGTGATACGATGCTTTCTAAAAAAAGAAGGAGTGAGGACGATATACTGTACACACTGTTTGAAAATATATAATATCATGTGTAAAATCATTTCATCTCTCACAATTTTGCAAAACTAATTATATTATTGTGTCATCTGACCTCTGGGTCAGGATTTTCTCGCTGCGCTGTGACACCATTCCGAGCACGAAACGAACGCACAAATGTAAATGTCAGAGATGCGACTCTCGAAGGCCAAAAAAGATTTGAATTTCCAACTTTACGTGTATTTCGTGTAAGGTAGTTCATAAAATGTACTTGTGGCCGAAATTGTCAAACTTATATTGCTA